TTGTTTTCGGGTTCTCGGTGGGGCCCAATCCAATACGGCTCGTACCTTCTCCGGGTCCATCTCGAGACCCTCGGGTGAGATACGATATCCCAGGTAGTCAATTTTTTCTTGATGGAACTCACATTTGGACAATTTGGCGTACAATTTGGCAGCACGCAGTTTGTGCAGCACGGACCGTACCAGTTTCATATGTTGGTCTCTAGTCTCCGAGTAGATAAGGATATCGTCCAGGTAGACCAAAACCCCCTTGTATAAATGTTCGTGGAGCACCTGGTTGATCATTTGCATGAAAACAGCTGGTGCCCCCTGTAGGCCAAACGGGAGAACATTGAACTGGAAGCAACCCATTGGGCAGTTGAATGCAGTTTTCCACTCGTCCCCCTCTTTAATTCGGATTCGGTAATAAGCCTCCCTCAAGTCCAGTTTCGTGAAGATCTTCCCCTTGGCCAGGTGGGCTAACATGTCCTTCATTAGAGGAAGGGGGTACACGTTCTCCACGGACACCGCGTTCAAATTTCGATAGTCCACCACCAAGTGCTTGGAGCCATCTTTCTTCTCGCGGAACATCACAGGGGCCGCCACTCGAGGTCTGGCAGGTTGGATGAAACCTCGTTTCAAGTTCTTGTCGATAAACGATCTCAATTCCTCCAACTCCCTTGGGGTCATCGAATACATCTTTGGTTTCGGGAGCGTCACCCCCGGTAGAAATTCAATGCTGCAATCGGTTGACCGATGGGGAGGGAGCTCATCGGAGGCCTCTTCGCTAAACACCTCTCTTAGGTCCCAGTACTCTTTCGGGATTTTCTCCTCCCCTTTTATGAGCTCGGCCCCCGTGGAAGCTGTCTCAGCATGGGTTTGGGACTTCGGATGGGGATTCTCCCCAGTTTCCAGGGGGGTTTGCTCCTCCCTTCCCAGAGGTTGGTCAGTACGAATCCGTATCCACCCCTCTCTCCAGTTCACTTGGGGATTCCATTTCCGAAGCCAGGGCAATCCCAAGATTAGGGACTGTTCCATCCCGGGAGCCACAATAAAACACAAGGTCTCGCTGTGGGTTCCCATGGTCATCTCTAGGGGTTCCGTTATAAAACATGCAGGGCAACCTCCCACCTCAGACCCATCCAATTGGCAAAAGGATATGGGCGTTCTCAAATTTCTCAGTCCGATGCCCATGCCCTTAACTACTTTCATGCTAATTAGGCACCTCGTACACCCCGAGTCCAACAAGGCCAGCATTTCCCCCTCGGTACCCGAGGTGGGCACCCTTAACTTAATTGGGATGGTAAGGGGGCTCCGGTTAGGACTTACCGGGATGTCGTCTTCCGAGTCGGTCTCACTCTCGTCGGGAGGAGTCAGAGGTCCCAGCTCTTTTTCCGCTGGGGGAGTGACTTCTACAACCTCCCCTATCTTTAGCCCGGTTTCGCGAGGCCTGGTTGGGGAGGATTCGGGCTTCCTTCCTGGGCCCCGTCCTTTCTTTGGATCTGGTTTGACTCGACAATCCGCAATCCGGTGGCCCTCCTTCCCACAACAAAAAAGGCAGTAGATTTGGCCCTTGCTGTCACCCCTCCCTTTCGGGGTTTAGGGGTCTCTCGGAGCCGAGGAGGGAGCAGGTTGCTCCATGCGGGGCCTCCTCTGCGTCTGCTTCGGGTTAGATCTATTTCCACTTCTTCCGCTAGCAGGTACCACAACTGCAAGTCATGTGGATCCCTTCTGGAGATGCACATGTGGTATACCTCTTCATTTAGGCCATCTTTGTAGGCTTCTATTAGAGCCTCCTGGGACCAACCTCGGATGTGATATGCCAGCTGTGTGAACCACTGATCACCCGCCGAGTCAGCCACTGATCTCCCGCCGAGTTATGGTTTTCATTCTGATCCTGGCCCTTCTCTCCGCCAGAGGGTCTTCAAACCTCCTCCTCAAAGCAGTCATGAAAACATCAAGGCTTCGCAGTTGGGGGGAGTTATCATTATACAAAGTCACCACCCAGTCTGCTGCCAACCCCTCCAGGGTCCTGGTAACACATCTTACTTTGGCTGCTTCAGAGGTGAACTCCCTTTCATATTCTGCCATATAGCTTCCAACCTGCACCAGGAAAAACCCCAAGTCCTTGGGATTTCCTCCAAACTTCACATCTAAGGAGGGCAGGTGGCGTCTTCTAGGCATTACCCCCGCTGCTGGGGCTCCCCGGGTGGTGGCTGGTTGTTGCGCTGGCGAGGGCTGGGCCGGGGGGGGGGTGGCAGCCCGACTTCCCCAGGCTGAACTTGCTCCCCCTTCCCCCTCATATATTGGAGCCCTGCCGGGTTTCTCAGAAGCATCCTTAAAGCTTTTCCCAGCTTGATCCAGCCTGCATTCCATCTCCTCCCCCTCTTGCCACAGCTGTTCCCTCGCACCTCTTCGACTTACAGTGATTCCAGGAGGGGGGGGTCTTCCAGATCTCTCCATCCAACTCCTAACGACCATCTGGGCATCTCAGCTGGAGTTTCTTCCAGAGTAAGGTCAGCTAACAAGTCGGCGGCTGGCATCTCTGGTAACAGCATTGGCTGCCCCCCCGCAGCTCCCTGGTCATCTTCGTCGCTGGCTGGAGAAGACATGATGTGAAACCCCCTCGGAAGAAAAGTTGGTGTTTTCTCCGGGTGGGCTGATGGTGAGTTTCGGAATAATGTCAGTGTGTGCTCCTTTCAAAATCCAAGAAAGAAATACCCAGACTCCATGGATCAGAGCAAAGTTATTCTTTTACTGGAGAATAAAAAGGAAGCTACAGATGGAATTCCGAAACTGAGAATTTGGCGCGCAGATCACACATACAAAGAAATGGAATTGTTCCCACCCCCCGAAATCCAGAAGTCTCTTCCAATTAAAAGTTCTGAATATGATCATGTGGGCATCTTCAGGTGGTGATGAGGCCTCTGTCCGTTGACCTTGACATATTTTGATAAAACTTCGCAGCTGCGCAAAAAGGGATAGAGGCTAGCAAGGAAATGGAAAGTTGAAAAGAAGAAATCATACACCCCCTCCTTTTTCTGCCCACAGTAAAGGAATGCAAAACACCTCCAGCTCTCTTCCCCCCCACAATTACCCCTCCCCCCGTTGCTAATGACAGCCGAAAGAATTAAGCCTAGCAATAGAGAAGATATGGGAGAAATAAATGAGATAGATAGTAGTTAGGGTACCTGAAGAGATCTTGAGGCTGACAGTCCTTCAATAATGATTTATAACCACCAATAAACCGGCTAAAGAACTGCAGGGGAATCTTTTTATTGCCTATTCGAAGCATCCGAGAGCATAAGAAATGCGAAGCCTTTCTGTTGGAATGAGCAGAGGAAAATCAGTTTTCCTTTTAGAAATACCAGCAAGATTTCTGAAACTTTCCCATTGCACTTGGAAAGGGTTTGTAACTGGAGGAAGACAGGGATAGAGGGGGAATACCTGGCCCCTCCCCTTGTTTGCAAATTAGTTCCTTTTGAGCTAACAGAGAAGTTTCTCTTGCTGAAGAGACAGGGGGGGGGATCCTGGCCCCTTCCTGCAATTCCAAATAGGGTGTAAGGTTTGTGGCTTGAAGCGAGGGAGAGGTACTAAAGGAATAACATTGCACATTCACTCCTGGCTTCAATATATCTTTGCCTTTATCACAGGGACTGTAAATTAACGTGCATCTGGCCTTGTTCCCTGGGAAACCTGAGCCTTTTCCAAGTTATCTTCGGCCTCTTTGCCATCTTCCCCCTTCTGAGAGTTTAACTTTTATTGCAAATATTCAGATGTCTCACAATGCTTGTAATCCTTTTCTTGAAGAGCAAGGAAATAATGACTATAATTCTTTCTCCATTTTCAATGTATTGGACACTTAAAGACTTTACAGTAAGAAGGCATTAAAAACAGCCACAGACAATAATTCCATAAGTCTAGGCCAGGGCTCTCCAAAATGGGAAACTTTTAAGAGTTATAGAGTTCAATTCCCAGAATCCCTCAGCCAGCATGGTAACGTGTGCCAGAGGAAATCTGGGAGTTGAAGTCCACAAGTCTTAAAATACGTTTAGAGACTCCCAGTCTAGGCACTGACCTATTTTGATGTTACCAAATTCCTTCCCTGTTTTCCAAATCCGATTTCAATGAATTGGCAATTATCGGTTAGACTGAAAAAACACATTCTTAACATTCATGATTGTGCCTTAATAATAGTGTCATGTGATCACCATTTGAGACCTTCAGACAAGCAAAGTCAATGGGGAAACCCAATTCACTTAACAACTGTTACTAACTGAACAACTGTGGCAAAACTTGTACAATAGCACAAAACTCACTTAACAACTGACTTGCTTCGCCATGGAAATTTGGGGCTTAATTGTGGTCATAAGTCAAGCGCCACCTGTATTTTCTGAAGCTGGTTCCCTGAATTGTCCAATTTACCCACCAAAATGAGCCTGTATTTGAGATGTGTAAGCTAAGCCTTAAGCCGCTTCCTAAGTTGGGACATTAATAAAAATCAAGCATAATCAATATTGTATCTCAAGACAAGAAATCAATTAAACACAACTAAGGTTAAAGGTGGTGCAGACACACAGCGCCATCCCTCCAGTTATTCCTTTTGACACAACTCTCAAGTCTCGTATTAGTTCATTCTCTTCCGTCACTTTCTCACAGTGAAGAGCTCACTGGAGATCCTGCTTCTCTGTGTTCTGGCCTGACTTTCTCCACATGGGTGTAGTAGATCCACTGCTTGATTCCTTCCAACTTTAGGGAAATATAGGGAGTCAACACCACCAGGTCTGGACCTCACCACTTAGATTGCAATGTTTCCTCTTGAAATATTTCAGCATCTTCTCTAGAGTCTAAGCCAGCTTTCTACAACCTTATTTTATCTGAAAATATTATCCCAAAAGCGCTTAAAAAAAAATGTCAACTGGACTTTGTTTCTTCTTGAAGACATTTTACTTCTCATTCAAGAAGAAAAAGAACTGAAGAAACTTCTTGGATAAGAAGGGACATCTTCTCAAGGAAATAAAAAAGTCCAGTTGCCTTTTGATAAAAGCACCTTTGGGAGAACCACAGCCTGGATGACTGAGAATCTCCATAGACATCCAGATGTGTTAGTTCCCAAATCCCTCCCTCCCTTTGCTCTTTGCATTGACAAAAGTTGATCATTTGTTGTATGTTATGTACACTTGAGAACATATGCATTGGAGACACATGCCTTGTATGACCAATCTCACTTGGCCAATGAGAATTTCCTGCCCATCCCCATTTCTATATTCTATTCCATTTCTATTCTTATTGCTTCTAATCTTATTCTACTCTACTCTAGCAGAGATCAAATAAACAAAAGTTAATTCCTAGTTCTACAAAGGAACTCTTCTTTTTAATGGATCAAGATGTTTCTGCTGCTTCGGAAGTCCTTCCTACACTCCATGCATTTCTCCAGAATTCTCCTGCAAAACGTCTGTGGACATGAAGCAAATTTTGAGAATCAACACAAACCAATTCACATAATTTTTTCCTGCTGTGTGTCTTTTGTTGATTAAAGTTACTCCCGGTTCTCCATTTTTTTTCCACACTCCACACACTAATCAGGCTTCTCCCCTGTGTGGATTCTTTTATGCAGGATAAGATTCCTGCCATCTTTGAAACTCTTTCCACACTCAATGCATTTAAACGGTTTCTCTCCTGTGTGGATCCTATTGTGGGAGGTAAGACTACTACCATCATTATAACATTTTCCACACTCCAGGCATTTATAGGGTTTCTCCCCTGAGTGGAGCCTTTTATGCATCCTGAGTGAATCATTACGTCTAAAGCTTTTTCCGCACTCATGACATGTATACGGTTTCTCCCCAGTGTGTGTCCTCTTGTGGATACCAAAGCAATCACCTCTTCTGAAACTCATGCCACACTCCGTGCATTTATACGGTTTCTCCCCTGTGTGAATCCTCTTGTGGATCGTCAGTGCTCCAGAATCACTGAAGCGTTTTCCACACTCCTGGCACTGATATGGTTTCTCCCCAGTGTGGGTCCTGCTATGTTTGATACAGCTATATTTTGTTTTGAAACTCCTTCCACACATACGGCATTCAAATGGTTTCTCCCCAGTGTGGAGCATTTTGTGGCGAGAGAGATGCCCTGAATAGGTGAAACATTTGTCACATTCAGTGCACTTACAAGGCTTTTCACCTGTGTGGATCCTTTTATGGAGAGTAAGACTACGTGAATTACTGAAGCTCTTCCCACACTTGGTGCATTGATATGGTTTCTCTCCAGTATGTATATTTCTGTGGTAAGTTAGGTGGCTGGATCTACGAAAGCTCTTTCCGCACTCCAGGCATTTGTATGGTTCCTCCCCTGTGTGGCTCTGTTCATGGACATGAAGGCCACCAGAATGGGCAAAGCGCTTTCCACACTGCAGACATTGAAAGGGCTTCTCCCCTGTGTGGATTCTGTGATGGGAAGTAAGGATTGAAGAGCAACGGAAGCTCTTTCCACACTCCATGCATTGAAATGGTTTTTCCCCCGTGTGGATCCTCTCGTGTGACTTAAGATGACCCTTTTCACTGAAGTTCTTTCCACAGTGAAGGCATTTATAAGGTTTCTCCCCTTTATGCAGCCTATTATGTACAGTTAGAGCACCTCTTCTGCTAAAGCTATTTCCACACTCCAAGCATTCATAGGGTTTCTCCCCTGTGTGGATCCTCTTATGGGAAGTAAGGGCATTGGGGAGTCTGAAGCATTTTCCACACTCTTTGCATTTATACGGCCTCTCTCCAGTGTGGATACTCTTATGTGAATTGAAATACCCTCTGCGTGCGAAGCTCTTTCCACACACCGTGCAAACATATGGCTTTTCCCCTGTGTGGATCCTATTATGCAAGCTTAAATTGCTGCTTCTGCTGAAACTTTTTCCACACTCCAAGCATTTATAGGGTTTGTCCCCTGTGTGGATCCTCCTATGGGAAGAAAGGACATTAGAGGTCGTAAAGCATTTTCCACACTCTGTGCATTTATATGGCTTCTCTCCAGTGTGGATCCTCTTATGTGAATTGAAATACCCTCTGCGTGTGAAACTCTTTCCACACACCGTGCAATGATATGGCTCTTCCCCTGTATGGATCCTATTATGGTGAGTGAGGTCCCTTGCAGAGCAGAAGCTCTTCCCACATTCTAGGCATTTATATGATTTCTTCCCACTGGGACTTTTCTCCTGGGAATTCAGTCCCTTGCTGTGGGTAATCCTCGTTCTACCCTCCCTGAGTTGATCCAACCTCTCCTCTCTGTGGAGGCTTTGATGTGAAGTAAGGGAGGCGCTGCTTCTGAAACTGTTTTCCCTATTAATGTACAGATGTTGCTTCGTCTCTTCGTGGATCCTCTTATGTGAAGTAAGATCACATTTCTGACTGAAGGTCCTTCCACAATCGAGACATTTGTGTAGATCCTCTGCTTTGTGAATCTTCTTATGCAAAGCAAGAGAGCGGCTTGTACTGAACATTTCTGTACACTCTGTACATTTGTATGGTTTCCCTCCTTCTTGTATTCTTTCATGTAAGGGAGGAGGAAGGTTCCTTCTGGAGTGTTGCCTGCTTTCATCTTGTTTCTCTCCAGCAGGGCTTTGGCAACAGTCACATCTTCCAGATTCATCACAGTGTATCTTCCCACACCTTGAACACACTTCTTTTTCATGGCAATCATCAGTGTCCAGTAAGACATTGGTTTCTGGGCAAGGTAAACTAGTGCAATTCTCCAGCTCCCCCGTTAACTGGTTTTGCTCAGAACTTTGCTTTCCATACATCTTTTCTGTAGCTTCTGTTTTGTCTTTTGGTAAAGGTACAACTGCTCCTTGGCCAGAATCCTCCATCTGCCATCCGTCACCTGCTTGTAACAATAAAAAAAGAAAAGTTAACACAAAGTTAGGTGCGAAAGGGTTCAAGCACCATTGCTGTATCTGAACAGAATCAAACTGCCTCCAACATTGCATTGGTTCAAAACATGGTATCAATTCTAAAGTCATTTTGGATCGTGTTCAGGGTTGGCACAGCAAGGCTGGGCAGAGCTGTGGGAATGGGAGGGGGGAGTAGAGATAGCTGGGCATGTGTAGCCAAAATAGAATTCTTTCCCCTGGGAACCAAGGATGTTCTCATCAGCACCTGGTGAGGCATGGGAAGAAAACAGCTGGACTCAGACTGTGACCTGATTGGACCATGTGATGGATGAGTGGATTGGGGGAAGAACTTTAAATTTTGAATTGGGTGGGAAAAACCTCTGGACCTCCAGAGTTGGCTTTTCAGCAGCTGTGCCAAAAGGACTTGCCTAATAAATCTGTACTTTGAGGAATCATCAAACCTCAGAGATTTGAGTCTTTGGGGTCTGTTACTTCAAACCCTCAAAAATGGTGCTATGCTTGGAATTAAGTTGATATAAGATTTTACCTTCGGCTCTCTCTTGTCCTCGGTGGTACAAAATGAAAACGTGAAAATCTTGGCTAAGATCATTTGAAATTTTATGGGGTGAGAACCATCAGCTCTACTGCTTCAGATTTAGCTCAAAGGAAGCAGAAAGGACACTTAAAAGAGGCCTTCATTCATTCATTTGTTCATTTATTCATTACATTTATTGGCCTCCAGCTTGCCATAGGGAAACCCTTGATGCCCTATTATATTAAAAGGATAAAAACTATATAAACAATAAAACAGTGTACAAATACAAATACTCAGTCCTAACTAAAAGATAATAAATTTGATGATGGAGAACCTAATGGTTTAATTGGACCTGGGAGATAAGCTTCAGCCTCATCTCCATATAGATGAGTAGGTAGGTATCCAAATGAAGTCAGAAATGCTGACACAAACTTGATATAAATTAATGTTACATGTATGTATGTTTGTATGCACACACACTGTAAATATATATATACAGTAAAATTTCATCCAATTGATCTGGAAAGAGTTGGGCAGCTTGATCAGCACACACAGCTTTACCTGTTGTTCATAAGCTATAGTAATTAAATTGTTTTCGGAATGGCGCAAACCGGCCACGACTGGCTCCAAAGGTCTCATTGTACTCCTCACCCGCTGCTCGCTTTAGTGTTTCAAAAACGCTCCGTGCCCTTCCCTGAATCAGATGGACTAATGGGACTTCTTTTTGGAATGTCATCATCAATCCAAAGCACAAGGAGCTGTTCTGTTTTTGAAAAGAGGCCTGTCCTATTTCTTGTGATTATGGCATCACTTCCTGGAGCTGATTTAATCACCTCTTTTATCTTTTCTTTACCCTTAAGGATCATGCATATGGTAGAACAAGCCAGTCCTTCTTCTCCTATGATCTTTGCCTTCTTCCCCTGTTCATTGGCTTTAATTATTTTCATTTTGATAATTTCCCCTGTTACTTACAGAGAGAGGGGGGGGTGGGGGGCAGAGCTGTTTAGTAAGATCAATGTTATGGTTTGGGGAGGAAGTATTGTAGGGCAATAATGTGTCTTCCTTCTCATTTCTTTCCCCTGACAAAAGCATAGCAATTTGTTTGCTGCTAGCAGCAATATGGGGTACAGTATTTGAAAGTCTTTTATTTAAGGTAGTGTATTAAACTGTGGTTTATATACTCCATCTTTGTGTTTAACCTGTTCCACTTGGTTATTTGTTCCTTTCCTGCACAGCATGTGCAAGATTGAATCTGATTCTTAACAAGCGGGAGAGAGTGAATTGTGAAGGCCAATACTCTCCTTACTGTCCATTTGTGAAGAAAAGCCAGGTTTCATAGAAAAGCATGAAAACCTCAAATAAATAGCTTGAAAATTTGAAAACCAGCACTTTAGAGAAGAATATAGCAACAAAAAAGGAATAATAATGCTGGAGCACATGCATTAATTTTTTAAAAAAATTATTTTGCACTACAGTAACAGAATCCTACTAAATGTCAGTATCTTAATAGAATCCCTCACCTAATGAGGCAATGTTCCTCTTGTTTTCCAGCATGACCTCTCGGTACAGGGCTTTTTGCTCAGAATCCAGCAGAGCCCATTCCTCCACGGAGAAAAACACAGCTACATCCTCAAATGATACCAAATCCTGACACAGAGACAGGGGGAAAAGGACAGCATATTCCATGAATATTCCTAACAATGAACACTCCAATGAATTACATGTCAGTCTTCTTCTTAATGAAAAACCTCCACAATTTCCAAGTAGGGCAAAGGAGCATGTAAGATATTGAATTTAGTAGCTAGAACAGTAAAGTCTACAATAGGCCAGAACACAATTGTAACTGATTAGAGTGCTGACTCATGCAGGATGCAATCTGCGTGACGATTGGCTGCTGTAAGTAGAAAGGGGGCGTTTCCCTTTTTTCCCTCCTTTTTTCCCCTCTGTGTTCTGCATGATGCTTCAGATTTACCTCAGGATGTTCCTCTGTTTTTCTGACTATCTTATGCTCTTATTTTTGTGGATGGTGACAAAGACTGCTGTAAATTTCCATGTTAAATATATTTATGTTTATATAAAAGTCTCCAAGTCTATGTCAGTGTCTCCAACTTCATCTGGGCAGCAGCTGCGCTCTACAAAAACCAAGCTTGGACTTTACTTTTTATTTTGGGCTTTTATGTTCACCATTTTAAAAAATGCAGAGTATATAATTATAATTGTCTAATGTATAAATTAAATGTTAAATGAGATTTGAATGGATAACAAGATATAAAGGTGATAAACTCTATTTGGTAATCACAGGGGAAAACTTGCTTTTTAACGCCTGGAAGGGGAGGGAATTGTTTTTTTTTTTTCTTTTCCCTGGAAAAAGAATGTATGAAGTTGTAAGCAGGACAGACAAAAGTACAAATATAATGATTAGAAAGATATAGAAATTTAGAAAAAGCTATGTAATTGAATTAGAAAGCAATGAGATAATCAGAAATAAGATTGAGGAAAGTAAAGGAAGGGAAAAATTATTGAGAAAATGATAAAATAGTGTCAAGATATGAAATAGAACATAAAGATGAATATGTAACTGAGATTATGTCTGTATGTGATAACCTGGAATCATGTTGCTCTCAAAAAAGATATTTTATTTGTATTATGTTTTCTGAAAATCCAAATAAACTTTTACAAAAAAAAACTCAAGAGTAAAAAGCATACCTGGAATACCAAGTTCAGTTTTGGTCACCACATTACAAAAAGAAATGTGGAGACTTTGGAAAAAGTGCAAACAGCAACCAAGGATTAAAGGCTTTGAGATTAAATGACACAAAAAACAGTTGCAGGAACTGGATATGGCCAGTCTAGAGAAAAGAAGGACCAGGGGAGACACGATAGCAGTGTTTCAATATTTGAGGGGTTTCCACAAACAAGAGGGGCTCAACTTATTTTTCAAAGCACCAGAAGGCAGGAGAAGAAAACAACGGATGGAAACTAATGGTGGATAAAGGCAACCTGGAATTAAGGAGAAACTTCATGACAGTGAGAACAATTAACTAATGAAAGGGTTTGCCTTCTGAAATTGTGGGCTGCAGGTTTTTAAGGAGAGACTGGACAGCCACTTGTCTGAAAGGGTATAGGGTTTCCTGCTTGAAACAGGGGGAGGGACTAGAGGATCTCCAGGATCCCTTCCAATTGTGTTATTCTGTTATTGGGAGATTGGCACATCTGGGGAGGGGAGGGGAGAATCCTCCTACCTGCGTTGGAAGCTCAGCCGCTGTTGATCCTCCACTACAAAGAACTGGGGTCCCGGGAGATGAAGCCATGGCCATGAGAGGGTCTAGGAGAGGGGAAAAAACAGCAAAGGAATAATTGGCTATCAAACATCCTAAGGATATTCTTGAGCATCCAGTGTAAAAGGCTGATTTTAGCCTGTTTCTAGGGTAACTAGGGAACCCCTTCACAGGAGTCCTTTGCAGCCACAGCAACAACCCACAGAGGCTCATTCTGGGTGAGAGGAAAACTGAAAGGTGTGGAAAGACCAGGGATTGGATTCAGATTATCTCAGCCATGAATGTATGCATTAAAGGACCAACTCTGTTATTCTATGTTGCTATAATGTTCACCTTACCTTTTGAGATACTCAAGGAAGATTACAAAAACTCTTCTTTTACAGCTGGGACTTGAAGTGGGGAACTAGTGACCTTTTTTGACAGCAGGACTTCAACTCCCAGAATACCTGAGCCAGCTGGCTGAAGAATTTTGGGACTTGAAGTCCACCAGTCATAAAAGGGCCGTAACTTCCTCACCCCTGGGTTACCTCTTGGGAGCTGTTGAGATATGTGGACTTCAACACACGTGGGGAATTCTGGGATTGGAAGCCCACAAATCACAAGGTTGCCCAGGTTGAGAAACAATGGCCCGCAGGAAAGAGCGACGCCTCTTTAAATGCACTAAAAGGCTTTGTAAAAATGCAGTTCAATTGAACGATGGGAAGGAGGAAAGGAAGGCGGGCGAAGAGATGGAAGGGCGTCCGGAGGAGCCTTGAGCCGATGCTCTCTCCGGAGGGGGCTCGTCTTGAGCGGCTCCCCGAAACAGCAGCGCCTGGGAGGGATCGCCCCCCTTTTCTCCCCGCCGGTTTCGCAGCCCTTCAACTCCGAGCCTACTGGATGTGAAACGGTCTCAGAGCAAAGGAAGCGACGGGAAACGGTCAGGAAGGGCCGGCAGAAAAGAAAGGAGAATAAGAATCATCTCCCCCAGGAGGAAGTGGGGGCGGCACCAGCGATCTTAGCAGCGCCCCAAGAAGCTGCCTGGAAGGCTCACCTGTCCCGGCATTTCCCAGGAAGGAAGGAAGGAAAAGGGAGGGAGGAATGAAGGAAGGAAGGAAAGAAGGAGCTTTTTACCCGGCTCTCGCTAAGAATGACGCGGCTCTCTTTCTCGCCTCGCCTCCGCTCCCCTAGAGATGCGGGCAGGAAAGGATCCGCGATCGCCACTGGACACTTCGCGGCCACGCACGTGGATCCCCCTCCCCGGAACGACCCCAGCCAGGAATTTGCAAGGCCCAAGCCGGAAACGCTTATAGCTCCTCCCATTCTCTGCAGGTCGGGGAACGCCGCCCATTCGGGGGTCCCCCTACCCGCCCCACTTCCTTCTGCCCCGGGGGAATCGGTCCCGGGTGGGAGGGTCAGCTGGGCAGGGAGTCAGAGAAACGGGAGAGAGGGAGGGGACGGAGCCCAGGGAGGGGAGGAGGGGAAGGAAAGGGATGCGGAGCGCCAAAGTTAGGAGGGAATAGCTCTTTAACAGATGAGCAGAGTTGGAAAGGATCTTTTAGGTCATCTAGTCCACCCCCCCACCAAGCAAGAGACCCTACACCATTTCTGACAGTTGGCAGCCCAATCTCTTCTTGAAAGCCTCAACTGATGGGCTTCCGAGGTCAAGCAGTTCCGTTGTTTGATTGTTCTCACTGTCAGAAAGTTTCTCCTTATTTCCAGGTTAAATCTCTCTTTGTTCAGTTTCCACCCATTATTCCTTGTCTGGCCTACAGGCGCTTTAGAAAATAGCTCCGTGGCAGCCCCTCAAATATTGTGACACTACTATCATGTCTCCCCTGGTCCTTCTCTTCACTAGACTGGCCAGGCCCTGTTCCTGCAACCATTTTTCATATATTTTAGTCTCCAGTCCCCTAATCATCCTGGTTGCTCTTCTCTGAACTTTTTCTAGAGCCTCAACATCTTTTTTTATAATGTGGTGTCCAAAACTGGATGCAGTACTCTAGATGTGGTCTTACTAAGGTTTTATAGAGTGGTATTAGTACTTCCCTTGATCTTGATTGTATCCCTCTGTTAATACAATTTAGGATTGCATTAGCATTTTTGGCTGCTGATGCAAACTGCTGGCTCCTATTTAGCTGGTTGTCCACTAAGACTCCAAGATCCCTCTCAGAGTTACTGCTATTGAGCCTGGTTTCACCCAGTCTATATGGGTGCTTTTGGTTTTTCTTGCCTACATGTAGGACTTGACTTTACTACTCTACATTAAATTTCATTTTGTTAGATACGTCCCAGTGTTCTAGTCTGTCAAGATCCATTTGGATCTTGAGCCTATCTTCTTCCATGTTAGCTATTTCTGCCAGCTTAGTACCATCTGACAGAACCTTGTGGCACCCCACTGCTTACTTTCCTCCATGTAGATTTAGACCCATTAATGACTACTAGTTGAGTATGGTTTGTCAGCCAGTTGCGAGTCCATCTAGTGGTGGTGCTATCTATTCCATTTTTTTCTAGTTTATTAATAGGTTGTGGTCTTCTTTGTCAAATGCCTTGCTGAAATCTATATTATATCTACGGTATTTTGCTGATCAACTAATTTTGTCAGTATGTTGAAGAATGAAGTAAGATTGGTTTGGCATGATCTGTTTTTAACAAACCCATGCTGACTGCTAGTTATTACTTGTTTCTAAGATTCCTGTGTGAGTTGTAAGAATACCCAATACTTTTTTTTTTAATAGAACAATTTATTAGTTTTAACAGTTAAAAACAGCCAACAATACATATACAAATAAATGAAAAAAAAAAGAAAGAAGAAAAGAAAGAAAAGATTGAAAAGGAAAAAGAAAGAAAAAGAAAGAAGGAAAATTAAAAACATTCTTATTTTACAGTTTGCAAGATCTTTTTTTTTATAGCCTTTGATTTATGTCATATATACACCTATTCTATACATATATCACTATCTCATTATTATCAGTTAAAACTTTTCTCTTATGCCTTATGATATATAATTTATCTATGATTAATCCAATTATACCAACAATTCCAACTATCATAATATTGTGAAGTATCTTTGTTTTTTAGTGCCAGAGTCAGTTTGTCCATTTCTGCGCATTTTGAAATTTTATCAATAATCACTTCATCTGATGGAATTTGATGTTGTTTCCAGTATTGTGCAAAGGCTAATCTGGCCGCAGTTAATATATGTATTGTTATATATTTAGCTTTTTTGGAAATTTGTTTGTCAAAGATCCCTAGTAGGAAGGAATCTGGTTTATACTCGATCTGCTCTTTTGTAATTTCTTCCAACCAAGTTTGGATTTTCTTCCAATAATTTTGGGTTTCTGTGCATGTCCACCACATATGGAAAAAGGTTCCTTCTTTTTTCTTACATTTCCAACAATACGGACTCATGTTGGGGTGCATCTTCGCTAGCCTCGAAGGAGGGAGATGCCATCTATAAAATATTTTATAAAGATTTTCCTTGTATGCTACCGATTTTGTGATCTTATTATTCCTGCCCCAAACTTTTTCCCATTCTGCTAGTGTAATACTACGTCCTACATTCCGACTCCACGCAATCATATTCCCTTTTACAATTTCTTCTTCTAATTCTGTTTCTAGTAAATAATTGTAAAATTTTGTTATGCTTTTTTTGTCCGGTCCTAATAAAATCTTATCTAATTGTTGAAGTTTGTTGTTAATTCCAAATTCTTTCTTATCTTGTTTGTACCTACTTTGAATCTGAAGATAAACCCATTGATCAATTTTTAGTCCCTGGTCCTGAATTTCCTGCCTCGATTTCAAATTTCCTTGTGGGTCCAATAAGTCTTTATATTTAATCATTTTAGTAATTTCCAAATTGTTTGGGTGAATCATCGCCTCCATTGTTGAAATCCATGTTGGTATTTTTATGTAATGTTTTTTCCGTATTTTCTTCCAAATTGTTAGTAGCGCGTCTCTAATTAAATGTCTATGAAAATATTTTTGACTGGTTTTCCCTATATCCCATAAGAATTCGTGCCACCCCCTTTGTAAGTCGTGGCCTTCTAGAAATAATATTCTTTTATTAGTTAACTTCACCCAGTCCTTCAACCAAACTAATGAGGTGGCCATATAATATAACTCCCAGTTTGGGACTGCTAACCCTCCTCTGCTCTTTGTATCTTGCATTGCTTTTACATTTATTCTGGGTTTTTTCCCTTGCCAAATAAATTTAAGGGTTGTTTTGTTGAGTTCTTCGAAGAACTTTTTGTGTAATTAAATTGGAATCGTTTGGAATAAATATAGAAATTTGGGGAGAATGTTCATTTTAATGGTGGCAATCCGGCCTAATAGTGAAATTTGAAGTTTACTCCATGATTCTAAATCTTTCTTTACCTGATGTAACAATTTGTCATAATTATTTTCTTTAAGTGACTTACAGTGTGGTGTTAGCCAAATTCCTAGATATTTCACTTTCTTTGTCACTTGTAATTCCATTGTTTCTTCTAATTCTATTTTCTGTTTTTCTGTTAAATTTTTGGTCATTAATTTAGTTTTTTTCTTGTTTATTTTAAGTCCTGCTACTGCTCCAAAATTCTCCAGTTCTTTCATCAATTTTAGTCCCCTATCTATTGGTTCTTCAATAAAGAAGATCATGTCGTCCGCAAATGCTTGCAATTTAAATTCCTCTTTCTTAACCGTTAATCCCTTTATATCTGAATTTTGCCTAATTCGCGTTAATAATGTTTCTAATGATAATATGAAGAGCAGTGGGGAGAGTGGGCAGCCCTGTCTCACTCCTTTTTCTATCTTTATTGGGCGGGTGTGTTCTCCGTTTATTATTATATTAGCTTGTTGTGTGTCATAGATAGTTGTTATAATATTTTCAAATTTGGTACCCAGATTCAAATTATAAATTTTTTGAATTAAAAATTGCCAATTCAGATTATCAAAAGCTTTCTCTGCATCTAAAAACATGAGTGCTACTTGTCTCTCAGGGTGGGCTTCATAAAATTCTAGTATGTCTAATACTATTCTTAGATTATTCTTTATTTGCCTAGCTGGAAGAAATCCGTTTTGATCTTCATGTATATACAAGTTTAGCAGTCTTTTTAATCTGTTTGTTATAATAGAAGTAAATATTTTATAATCAGTATTTAGAAGAGAATACCCAATAAATTTATATGCACAATAGGAAGACAAGTCTGGTTCACAATTTAAAACGTTTAGAAAAGAAAGCGGTTGCAAGCACGGCCTCCAAGACCCTTTTCAAGTGGATTGAGCACAAGGAGAACAAAATCCTATTTTCAAACTAATACATTTATACCCCCTGCACAACGCACACCACGCCTAAAAAGCCCTCCCAACTCCCTCTTATTATCTGAAACTATACGATGAGCTAAACTATAAACTAAAGGGTGAACATGAGATTGTTTTCTATGCGTCAGATGTCTTGTCTTGTTTTACTTCAGATGACTGCAAGGAGTATAAATCCTTCTGATAAACTGGTGGATTCTTCTTGGGCTCTTAAGTGTCATCATTGTAGACCAAAAAACAACAAAATGAAAGGAACTTCTAAAAAACAAGTGTGAGAGGCAGGATCAGAAACAGGCTAGGATGGGTAACAGTCATGGAGGCAGCGTGGAGGTTTTAGGTCATTTTATCAGACTAAGTAGGAGTAGAAATGTAGAGAAGGACACTTTTATCTACTGATACACTGAACAAATTAAGTCTTATCTGAGCTGCTCACATCCACCACCCTTTCAGACCAGGGGGAAAAACCTGTCAGGGAATTGCTCAGTAGGTATCCAAATGAAGTCAGAGATGCTGACACAAACATTATATAAATTAGTGTTTTATACATTAATATATTTATATATATGGTATACACACACACTGTAAATATATATTTACAGTAAAATTAATGTTTACAGTAAAATTGATATGTTTACATCAATATTTACAATAAACAAGATAATCAGGCTAAGATGAGCATCCTGAGGTAAAATTACAGAACACATAGGGGAAAAAAGGCGGGAAACAAGGAAACTCCTCCTTTACACCCACATTAACCAATCACAGCATAGGAGGAGAAAGCTCCCTCCAACCATGCAGGAGAAAGCTCCCTCCAACCAATCAGCTGTAATGGTATATTCTGACTCCTTGTGCATCTCCACTGTTCCAGCTACTAAATTCAAATATGGCACAGTGGTTAGAGTGCTGTACTGCAGGCCAGTTCTACTGATAATAGGCTGCCTGCAATTTGGCAGTTCAAATCCCACCAGGCTCAAGGTTGACTCAGCCTTCCATCCTTGCCAGATGGGTAAAATACAAATATTACAGTGCAACCCCAGCCACAGAGACATTTTTCCTTATATTTCTTCTTCTATAACAACTAAAAGATATACAATATATTCCAATTGTGTCCTTATCCCCTCCAAAACAACATATAATCTCGAGTACGTTTATTCCCTTTGCCTTCTGCCAACATTGTCAATAGGGCCATTAAAAAGCTGAACCCAACCTATTCTCCACAACAAAGGATAAAATTACACACATGGGATACAGAGAAAAAGCCTTACAAATTAGCTAAGACCCCTTCCCATAGAAAACTATAAAAAGCAAAAGCAAACACCCAAAGGAAATGAAGAACCTTAAGACACTTGAGAAAAGGAGACACTTACAGTAATAAAAAAAGGCACGGCAGGAAAAGATTTAAACCATGGTAGCAAATCAAAGGCATGAGAGAAAGTTCAGGATGTTGCAACAAAATGCATACTAATTATAAAGAAACAGCTGCTACAAAGGGCCAGGGAAAAACAGAGATCGGACTATAAAACAATTACTTATTTGCCTTCTATCTAAGGATGAAAGATCCCAATCTCAAGAGAAAGGATATAAACGCCATAAAAAAACAAACATACAAATCAAAAGACTTTAAAGAGTTCACATACAAATGAAAAAAGGATCTGAAGGGTATAAAAAAGGGGTTTAACTTACAATGAAGTAGACTACTCACAGGATTGCTATTCTGATCTCTCCTTACCTGCCTTCCTATTAACAATAAACTGATTCCAGCTTCCAATGCAGCTGACCTCCAATCATTTTGCAGTAAATCTCCCAGCTGGGAAATTTGAATTCCCAAAGGGAAAGAGTTCTGCCTTTCCTTAAAGGGAAAGGCTTCTTTTTCCTTATAACAATAAGGCAGGCAGAGAAACAGGGGGAAGAGGGAGGGGACGAGGCCCAGGGATGGGAGCAGGAAGGGGATGTGGGGCATTAAAGTTAGGAGGGAATTGCCCTTTAACAGAATAACAGAGGTGTGAGGGATCTTGGAGGTCTTCTAGTCCAACCCCCAGGCAGTCAGAGAAAGAGGGAGAGGGCAAAGTTCAGCAGGAAAAGGAGCTTCTCTTATCCACTTAGCATCATCCCCAACTTAACAACCTATTCCTTTCAATGACTAACATTCATGATTGTGCCAGAATAATAATCAGTAGTCCTTGACTTAAGGCCATTGGATTAGTGGCCAAAGCTACAAAGGCACTGAAAAACATGAACTTTCTCGCACTAAAGACAGGTGCAGCCTCCCCATGGTCACGTGATCAAAATTCAGCCACTTGACACCTGACACATATTTATGGTTGCCATGACCCAGGATCACAGGAAGCTCTGGACAAGCAAAGTCAATGGGGAACCAGATTTGCTCAACGGCTGTAACAACAGCAGTGATCTGCTTAACAACCACAGCAAAAAATAGCCAAAATGGGAACAAACTCACTTTACAAATGTCTCACTTAGCAAAAGAAATTTTGGACTGAATTGTGGTCGTAAGTCGAGGATTGCCTGTATTTGAAGGGTCGATGGGGCATGTCGAAGTGTGACACAACTTAGTGCTCCAAAAGAGAATAAAGAGAAAAGTGGGAAACCCCACCCACAAAACCTTTTTTCCAAGATTATCCCTAATAAATGGGGAGCCAAAGGACCCCCTGATGATCCATAAGGGAGGCCCATTAACTTTCTCCCTCTGAAGCTGAAGAAAACTGAAAGAAGGGAAGAGATCAATCTGAATTCAAAGGCACTTTTGGTTTTCCTCACCTTTCCTGCTCCAGGCACTTTGCCAGATGTGCTCAGCCTCAAATTGAACATGAAGACAAGATTGTAAGCAAAAACTTTATTCCGCAGAAAAAGTCATACAAGGAAATCTCCCTCAAGGCCTTTGTACACCACCAACACCCACTGGAGGGCTTTACACAGCATTTGCCACACAGTTTACGTGTTTCAGAGTCATGGGATATTCTCTCATCTCCCTTACAGCAATTCCTGTCTGTTTTACACTCACATCTTAGTCTTACTGCATACGTGTCATCCAGAGCTCAGCCAAGCTCTTTAAAGCCATCCCAGCATGTTCACAGGGAAACCTCAACACTTCCATAAATGTCGCTTAGCTTTCCGTGATGCTTTCTGTTTTTCTACTGGACTGTGTTTCTCCTTGAAGACATTTCGCTTCTCATTCAAGAGAAAACAGAACTGAAGAAACTTCTTGGAGGAGAAGGGAAATCTTCTCAAGGAAATAAAAAAGTGCAGTTGCCTTTTGATCAAAGCACCTTTGGGAGAACCACAGCCTGGATGACTGAGAATCTCCATAGACATCTGGATGTGTTAGTTCCCAAATCCCTCCCTCCCTTTGCTGTTCACATTGACAAAAGTTGATCATTTGTTGTGTTATGTACACTTGAGAGTGTATGGAGACACAGGCCTTGTATGTCCAATCTCCATTGGCCAATGAGAGAATTCCCTTCCCTATTCCTATATTCTATTCTGTTTCTATTCTTATTGTTTCTAATCTCATTCTACTCTACTCTAGCACAAAGATCTAATATCCAAAAGTTAATTCCTAGTTCTACAAGGGAACTCTTCTTTGTAATGGATCAAGATATTTCTGCTGCTTCGGAAGCCCTTCCCATGATCCATGCATTTCTCCAGAATCTCCTGCAAAACTTCTATGGGCATGAAGCAAATTTTCAGAATCAACACGAACCAATTCACATTATTTTTTCCCTGCTGTGCGTCTTCTTATGGCAATTAAAAACACTCCCGGTTCTGAATTTCTTTCCACATTCCACACACTGATATGGCTTCTACTGTGTGTGGATTCTTTTATGGAGCGCAAGATTCCTGCCATCTTTGAAACTCTTTCCACAATCGATCCATTTAAATGGTTTCTCCCCTGTGTGGGTCCTATTGTGGGAGCTAAGCTGGCCACTCACACGAAAACATTTTCCACACTCCAGGCATTTATA